TTACTTCATGACTCATTATCAGGAATCCTGGAGCGGATAACTACCCTCTCTTCTTAAGGATCCTGATGTTCCACTATTCTTTCTTCTGTGATTTTGCTTTCTTAGCCATTCCTGATTAAAGTCTCTCTTCTATTTCACAACCTTTCAGACTGGTTTTCAGCTCCAGCTAAGGATTTTAACCCAAGTGTAGTAATACTATTGACTCAGGTGTAGAAATGACAGTGCCTCCACTGTCAGTCAAGATGCTCAAGAAAGCTATATTTTGTTTTATGAATCTGAATAAGGTCTACATTTAACTATATATAAAGTTTATAAAAAACACAACAAACTAGACAAAAAGTCAAAAGAATAATGTTCACTAGTCCTGTAGTCATTATAATTTAGAAAACTAGTGCACATTGCAGTTGATTTGGTTTGCTTTGATCTTAAACTGAACAACATAGTGCTACCCCTCTAGCATAATAGTAAAGCATCTAGTTTCCTTGTAACTGGAAAAACTGTTATGTGATGTGCCACACCATCTTCACCTTTCTTTTTCAAAATATTAAGTCTGTCCATGGCTGTTGGACTAGCTTTGGGAATCAGGTGCTGTTCCTTGTAACCTAAGGAAGGGTACCTGATGCCCAAAAGTTTTCCTAATTGTAATGCTGAAACTCTTCTTGAACTGAGGATTAAAGAAAAGAATAAGAAAATCAGGTGCCTAGAAAAAGGTATCTGCAAACTATATTTAGGTACTGAAATCAACTGCCTGATTTTTCAGAGGAATCTCAAAAAACCCTTTCTACTCAATACTCCCTAGATCATCATGGCTACACAACACTCCAACCCTTCAACATCATACCCATGGCACCCAGAAGGGGCATATCAGGGTGAGTAGTAAAGCCTGTCATCTCTTAGAACTAGTTCTAAATAGTAACCTAATTATAAATCTTCTAGAAAAATCATCCCTTATATGAACGTTGCTTGGTAAATGGTGGTGCCATCCAATCAACAGAGCTTCTTTTTATAACTACAGCAGACTCATCTGGATCCCACTTGCTAATCACCAGAAGAAGAAGCATATGAACAGTGCAAAAAATGGGCTACCATCTGGAATGGCCCCTAGTCACCCACGTGTCCCAAAGCTGCTCTTTGGTGTTCCCAGTAGAGAGAAGTGCACAGTGTTAAGTAAGTTACCCTCTTGCCCATGCTCATTGGATCTCCAATTAATCCTAAAGTTTTAGCAAGCTCCTGCAAAGTGCAGACTTCAGTTCCTTTCATCAGATGCTTGCAGCACTGCTAGCTATCTTGCAAACAAGGTAGTTTAATAGCAAAAATATGTAAACTTCAACATGCCACAATTTAAAAGGGTTTCCTCTGGTCTATGAATGATGAAAAGGAGAAATGTCTTCCCAAAATTAGCACAATGATTTTATTGGTTTTAAAAAAATGTAAAATTTTGATGAATAATTTTCCTTCGAAAACCTGAAATTGACTACCAACCTGAAATTTTCAGCCATCATTTTCTAATAAATAGATTTATAAATCAGGGGCCAGACTGTGATTCCCCTGTCCTTTAATGGGTTAATGACTTTGATCTCTTTTTGATCTCTCTAACCCACCTTCCTTCTCCTATCAGTGCCCCCTGCTTTCCTCCCCCTTTCCCTATCATTTGCATTTAAATGATTTTATTCCTTTCTTTTTACTACCCCTGCTCTCTGCAGATGCATTCATAGCATCTGATGTTGTAGACTGTAGCCAGCAAAATCTCATGACTCTCTGAATGAGTTAGTCTATAAGGTGCCACCCTGCTCTGCCTTGTTCATATGAGTAGGATCTTACTCTGTGAGAAGTCCCTTGGTTTTCATCGAGACGCAATGTTGAATTCAGTATTATTCAACATAGGTAAATATAACTTTCCACACACTGCTTGTTATTCTACCAGCTCTGTATCTCACAGTGGTCTCAAGTTAGTTTGGTTCTTAAGCATATAAGCATGGGATAAGTCCCAGTGGCCTCACTGAGTTATAGTCACATACTTCTGCACATTTACAAATTCATGGTGTCAAAGGGCATCAAGCTTTGACTTTCTGTGTACCATTGGTCACTCGGTTTCACCCATTTACACCTGTACCTAGTAGAGCTGGATGAAAAAAGGTTTTCCTGTTTCATGAGAATTTTTGAAATTTCAAAAATGTTTTTCATCTTGAAATAGGATGAAAAGTACAAGCCTCTGTCTCTTGCAAATTGCAACTTGGGGTGGGGAGAGATTTGAGTCTGTCAATTAAAACGTTTGAATTTGGCTATAAATTCACTTTACATTTCTAAATGAAAAGTTATTTCATTTCAAATTGAAAAATAGGACATTCAGAAAAGTTAGCCTTTCAAATTGTTTAAAGAAAAAAATAGAAAATGTATTGAAATTGACCTTTTCCCATGGAAAAATGTTTGGTGTTGCCGAAGGTATTTTCAACTAAAAGATTTGTTGAAAAGTCCATGCTTAAGTAGATGGCAGAATTGGAGCTAGAGCTGTTGGACTGTAAGTCCAAATCCATGTGGTCTTGTATACTTGCTGATGTGTCCCCAACTCAGAAGCCTACCATTCCATATGGGAACAGAAAAAAATCTAAGGTCTGATCTACTCCTCAATTTTGGTACTGATTATAACTATATTGGTTATAGGCATCATAAAACCCTTAGTGTGGGGACATTTATATTATAGAGATACCTTACATTAAAATAAGTTATGGGGTTTTTTTCTCCCCCTATAGGGCCAATCCACATGTCCACTATACAAGAACATTTATAGCAGTATAGTTGTATTTGTGCTGTGAAGGTGTGGAAGACTTGTATCACTTTATTTATGTTGAAATAGATACACCAATGCAATTTTTGTTTGAAGAAGAGACTTTACTTAAATGTGATTTTTATTTTGAGAGAGAAAGGATAGAAGCTCTGTCAGGAGGAGATTGTACTGAAAAGGAGCCCAAAGCCAATGTAGGCAGACAGACCTAAGTTTACCGGAACTGGAAAAATATCTCTAATTAGTTTTCATTAGTCTCCTCCTAAATGAGCTTAGGACTATTTGGAGCAGGCCTGTACAATTTTTAAGGGCTGTAAGCATTCTAGAGGCTCTTAGAAAGGGATTCTTGATGGTCCTCTGGTGGGAGATAAATCTAAAATGAGGGAAAATATGTATATTACACAAAGCCTTTTAATAGTGCTGTGAATTGTCTGTCCCTTCAGCCCTGCATTGAATGTTCAAACATGCAGTCATGGAAAAGGAAAGAGATCTATATAAAAAAAATCCTATTAAGTAACCAATTTACTGAAGAGCCATACATAAAATATAGCCTCTTCAAATGCCTCCTAATAGTCCTGTTTGTTATGTTGGAGGCTGCTAATAGCAACCATATTTGTTTGGGTAGTAAAACATATTTTGCTGGTGCATGATAATAAAGTGTGTTGTGTGTTCAATTAGCCAACTAATCAAATATGCCTAAAAAATGTAACAGGAGCAAGACCTGATCCAAGTCTCCCATTGCCAGTGCTAGGGTTTGTTCTTCACATGTTGTCATGGGAATCCTGTTCCCTCTGGTTCAGTCTCCTTTACTACTGAAACCGTAACAAAGCTATAGCTATCTAAGATGGCAGAGTTGTCACTAAGGTGCATGACAGGAGCCCCTCTGCCCCAGCGTGGCAGCGAGGGAATGAATCAACTCCCACTGATCCTACATCCCCAGGAGAGTAGAGGAGGTAATGTCTCTCTCTTTTTTTTTTTTTTTTACCTTATCTGAAAAGAAGTCATAGAGTTTAGGTGACTTGTCCAAGGCCAATGAGGCAGTTAGTGACAGGGATATATAGAACTGAGGGGGCCCCCTCTACATGTGCAGGTAAAAGGGTGATTGGATCTAATGAGTGATCCATGTAATTGTGCCTTATTGTGGGATTGTATTAGATCCATCACACCTTATTGCTGATGCAGGGGGAGCCTGGGATTAGGCTCCTCCTGCACTGACAAGAAGCAGTCTTCCACAGCTGGGAACCCCCTCTAAGGGGGCTCCCAGCTTCAGGGGCGTTCCACAGACCCCCACAGCTGGGAGACCACAGCTGTAGTTATTTCTCAGTTGTGGGGTGCCCCATGCACCCCTGGGGCTGGGACATTACAGCAGCATCCTGTGGCTGCCAGGACCCTGAGTCCCAGCAGAAGTGCTTGGTGCTGCTGAGGCTGAGTCCCCTCGACTTCCAAACTCTCAACTCCAGCTGCATGGCAGGTGCAGCCAGGACCAAGAGTCCTGTTAGCTGCATCTGTGATCTCCAAGCCACTGCATGGAGTGTCCCCATGGCTGGGAGATCACAGTGGCCTCGATCTCCCAGCCCCAGGGGTGCCCTGTGCACCCTGGCAACTGGGAGACTGTAGCCACTACACTCTCTCAGCCCCAAGTTCACTGCTTACATGTACAAATTAAAGCTGGATAGAAACCAGCTATAAAGTTCTTGCACATTTTTGAGCAATAACTTAATATCTGGTTGGAACTTTTTAAGGCGCCATAGTTAATTTGCATGTGTACCCAATCTAAATGTATGTGTAATTAACCAGGTAATTGCAAAATAGATAAAATGTGTAGTTATAAGCATGCAGTAATATTTATTGGAATTATTCTGTAACAAGAGCAGCATAAACAAGACTGGAATTTGGTCCAGATCTGTCTCTGACTCACAGCCTCCTGCCCCCACCACTCTGGAAAAGCCACCCGGGCTCCAAGCCCCATGCAATGCCCAGCTGGGCAGCAGCTCCAGCTCTAGCTCTGTCCAGCTCACTCCCTCCATCCCTGCCTATGCCCCCCTCTCTGCCCTGCCAGACTTACCTGTGGGAGCTGCTCTCTAGGCCGCCTGGTGGCCATGTGCATGTACATGCACTTGCAAAAGTACAAAATATGTGCATTTCTCCCTTAAAATGAGAAATCTGTGTTTTTCTCAGATGAAGAGGGAAATCCACATTTTTCTCCACTTTTCTATAGGGAATGGAAAACCTGGATCCATGAATTCAGGAGACAAAAGTCTGACAGCAACTGGGCAGGTGGGAGCAATGACTCCCCATCTACTTCTACAGTGCCTAGCACAATGGGCCTCTAATGGTCTCTATGTTTCACCACTGTATTAATGTTAAAGTTGCAAAAGAGAGCACTGGGAAATAAGGAAATGCTAGAATTAAGGCAGCTAGAACTGCAACTGAGACCCTTTGTTAATGGACATTATGATCCAGGCTTAATTACATGCCTATCACTGTCCATTAAAGCGGGACTAAACAGTGTGATACCCAACACTAAGCATATGTCTAATAACTACCCGTTTCACCTACAATAATCATCTTGAGGGAAAGGTCTGCCCATTTCTGAGAGAGCATATCAAATCTTCTCATTGCAGCGAGCAGCTGCCTGCTGTTATGGGCCAGATTATCTCCAGTGATGCAGTTCCTTACACATGGCTATAGAAAATTGGCCCTGTCTCTCTAGATCAGAAATGTTTCCAAAGAAGTTACTTTTTGCTGCAGCTAAGTAGCTCCAGATGTTAAAATATTCAACAAATTTGCTTTTTCCAGCCACTGAGTTTCAAATATGCTGTCAGTAACACAGAAAGTCCAGCACTTCCCCTCCTGGTAAGCACCATGTTGAAATGTTAAATATTAATATTCCTATTTGCATTTTGAAGCTACTTCCAATTGTCTTTAATTCCCAATTTTTTACCACCTCCCTATGAGTTTGCTTTAAATAATAAGGACTACTGGGTCTCTTTGGGCCCAATTCTAAGGGAGATTATGTATGCCACAGCATCCTCAGTACAGTCCTGTAAAAAAAACTGACCATTTCTATATGGCTTCTCTCCTGACCCTACATACTTCTCACACCAGCCTGGCAATTAAACAGAGTAGATGGCACTGGAGTAGCTCCAAGCTGTTTGAATGGACCTGGGAGTCCGTCTCCCCACCCTGTGGCTGCACCACTGTCAGGATCCCTTGAGGCAGATCCTGGGGCTTGTGTTCAGGGCTGCTGTGACCTAATGGCTGGTCTCTGCACCTAAAAAGGAGCAAACGGGTCAGTCTTATTTTGAGGATGGAAGAGGTGAGACCAAGAGGGAACCCATAAGGACTTGTTTACCATGCTGTAGCATTTAAATCCTAAGCTTAGGTCCCTTGAGGTTGGGTCCTGCTGCCACAGCAGTGTAGACAAGCCTCACGCCATGCCCACGGTGCTTCAGAAGCATCTTCCTGATTCAAAGGTCATCCCTTGCTCCTGGAGGGAAAGGAACGGGCTGTTATTGCAGCAGTGGGAGGAACACCTCCACACCACTGCTGCTGTGGTGGCTGCCAGGCAGGCAGGGGCACCTTGACATGGTGGCATGGCTGGCGTGAGGCTCCTAGGGGCAGGACAGCAGGGCAGGGAGCCCCAAAACTGCATCTTCCTCCACCCCATGCACAAATCTGGGGGGACGTGCCCCCTTATGTTCCCCTCCTTAGGAGTGTGTGCAGCAGCAGGGACCGCCCCTCCCACCCTTGAGATGAGCCACCTGTGGTGCCGTCCCACTCACTGGCTGGGCCCTTTGGTTGCACATTCTTGTCTTGGGCCCCGTGCACCACCCTG